GGGGGTGATCTGCGTGTCGTGTGACTAGAAACCGAGAAACACCACCGTCCCCCTTCCTCCCCCCCTGAAAATCAGAAAATGGACCATTTAGCTTCCCTGAACCACGTGTCAGGACGCATTTCGCCCTTCATCCTGTGCTTTCCTCCGACTCGCCACTACAACACACATGTCGACTGGTGTGGAGTCGTCGCCATCTCACGATCCTTGAGACCGTTGGCGCTCGTTTAGCCTGAAGGCAGCAAATCGTTTAGCAAGCGGTTCTCCGGGCTCGCTGGGGATGCGTGCTGAATGGGGAGGCGTGTCGCTGTCCGCGGCGCCGGCGCCGTTGACTCCAACGGGGCCAGATCTTGTGGGAGGGGCATATGGGTGTCCCTCAGGCTCCCTCGAGCGCTTCTTGGGTTTGGTGTCATGGTGGGGGGTTGTCTCACCTGCCGATGACAGGATCGCCTGGAGCGTCTGCCAACCTTCAGTGGAGCGTAGCTGGTATGAATCAGCGAGGTCATGCTGAGCGGCCACGCGACAGAGGAGCGCCTCCTCATCCTGAGAAACGGGGTTAGCTGCGAGAACGGTAGGCCCTGGGCCCTGGGCCCTTTGGCACGAACCTTGGATAAGATGCCCATTTGGTGGACGAAGCACAGGAGATGAAAGTTGGACATCTCAAGGCCATCGTCCTTGGACTTTTGGCCGCCATTGAACTTGAGAATCTTGGTGACAGCAGAGTGCTCTTGGCTTTCGCCAATGTATTCACGGTTCTCAATCGGGAAACCAGGCTGGATGAAAGTAGGCTTGGGGTCCGCAGGGAAGCCGTGGGTTAGTGTGACGAACAGATACTCTGCCGGGAACGCGGGCTTTGCGTTTTCCTGCACGTTGGCGCCGTACTCGTTGATTCTTCGGTAGAAGACTTCCGGCACGTAGCGAGTGCGGCTCGCAGTCCCATCGTCCTCCTCCTCGTCACGGACGAGCATCTGTGTTGGATCCGCAGAGGGCTCGATGAGATCTGCCCGAACCATTTCCACCGCGTCGTTGGACACCTGGTAAGCCGAAATGGCAATCTCGCCAGACTCGTTGCCGCTGATGACGCACGTAACAAAGTTGGAGCCGAACCGGCCAGTGTCGCTCCACTTGGAAGGCTTGGGATGTTGGGCCTGCAGTCTCGATGAGAAGCAAATCTCTTGGGCGGCTAGGAAGAACGAGTCGGCGTGGCGTTTGCAGACGACTGAGCCGTCCCCGTTGCCGGCATCGAGGAGGTCGGTCCAGATGACGCCGACCTGTTGCAGCCCGCACATCCTGGCGACCTTGTTCACCTAACTCCTCGTTCTCCCACACGTTCAACGAAACGCCATCCGACTCGTCAAGAA